AGCAACCATTAAAGTCTGCTCCTGGCATTGAGTAGGCACTGGTTTCTTTGTCTTCTAGTAGATATTCTACTGTGACTGACATTAAGACAAAAATGCTATTAATTGCAATGAATCTGCAGGCATGATTTGAAGGAAAAAGAGTTTTAGTCACTCAAAGCAAAGAAGCCTATATGTGATATGAAGCAATTTTTCCTGCCAATAAAATGTGTGGTTCACTTATCTGTTGCAGAATGAGTCATTTAAGAATGTTTTAAATTTTTAATTGCAATACATTGAAGGCAGTTAAGTTATTTCAAAATGCTAAAACGTTTGCATTTTTAGGGTAGCTTCTTACACTAAACTGGACTGTTTTATAGGAATTTTTAAGAAGTGAAGGGGGAAGGGGGAGATGATTGAAAAAGACTATTCTAGATTTCCTTCATGAGATGTTTATTCCAGACATTGGGTCTTTCATGGGAAGATGATCATATTCATAGGCAAAATTAAAAACTGATATGGCTAGGTTCACAGAGCCCACTAAATGGAAAACAAACAGTGCCTTTTTGTGATTTGTGAACGTAAGACATCTATATTTGTATTATGGTAGGCATAGTCTTTTCAATATTGGGTACAATGAACCTGTGGGAGGGAAGGGATTAAACTAGCGATGGCGAACCTTTTTTGGCTCGCGTGCCATAAGCGGGGGGAGCGCAGGGGGATCATGCGTGGGCATGCCACACCCATAATGCAATGTGTGACACACACCCCCAGTGCCCATGACAGCCCCACCCATTTTTTGCATGCTTTTTTTGCCCTCCCCAGGCTCCAGAGGATTTATAGGAACCTGGGGAGGGTGAAAACAGCCCCCCACCAGGCCCTCCAGAGGCTTCAAGAGCTTCTCTGAAGCCTCTGGAAGGGGGAAAAAACGACCCTACAAGCAAACTGGAAGTCACTTCCGGTTTGCTCATAGGGTCGTTTTTCGTCCTCCAGAGTCTTTGGGGAAGCCTCCAAAATGCCCCTGAAGCCTCCTGAGGGCTTAAACTGGCCCTACAAGCAAACCGGAAGTCCGTCCCTGGACTTCTGGTTTGCCCGCAGGGCTGGTTTTTTGCACTTTGGAGGCTTCAGGGAAGCTCCTCAAGCCTCCGGAGGGCCTCGGGGGGGGGGGGACCAGGGGACTGTTTTTACCCTCCCCAGGCTCCAGAGGCTTTATAGGAGCCTGGGGAGGGCAAAAAATGGCTTTAAAAAAGGCTGAACTCGGCTTGTCAGCACGCGCATGCATGCTGGCCAGCTTACAGGGCAACGCCATCTGGGAAGATTACAAATGGTGATCATGTGACCCCAGGACAGTGTAATTGTCATAAATACTAGTTGCCCCAAACCCAAAATTTGATGCATTGGGATGCTGCAGAGGTCATTAAGTATGAAAAAGTTATATCGCGTTTTTCAGTGCTGTTGTAATTTTGAACAGACACTTAAACCAATTGTTCTAAGTGGAGGACTACCTGTTATAGTTTGATCAGCATGGCTATAGTTGAATAATAGCTTGTTTGTGTCTTTCAGAAAAAAAGGAGCTTAAGCATGTGAACCGTCATTCCTGCAACAAGGAGCATTCTCCAAACCTTGTGCATCCTAATGTGATCTGCGATGGCTGTGAGGGCCCAGTTGTGGGTGCCAGATTCAAATGCGCAGTTTGTCCAGACTATGACCTATGCAGCACTTGTGAGGGGAAAGGTGTTCATAAGGAGCATAACATGATCATGTTTCCAAGTCCATTCCACCAGCTTGAGGTATTATGAAGAAAGGCAGATATACAATGATACTTGTAAAAATTATAGTCATTTTGTGGTTTATTTAAAAGCTGCTGTGGCTTAAAAACATTTGTTTACCCTTTAGTGGCTTCTTCAAGGTCGCTGGCTTCGTAAAATGAGACATGATGCTTGCTCCTTTCCCTGGTTGCGTGGTAGGGGACACCCACGTTCTGCCCATCAGCACCAGAATTCTGGCCAGGCACAAACTAGTACTTCTGCTCAAAGTGATGCTCCAGAGCGTGGTAAGAATTAAAAGTTGCAACAACAAGAGGCTTTAAATGCAAAATAAATTAGCAAAAATCTGATACCTGTCTAAAATTGCTTCCCTGCAAATGCTATGTTTATATAAACTTCTATATCTTAAAAAGTATCTTAAAATTATGTATTTAATTTTATACATGCGTGCATGTATTGCTCCTCCGATTGGGATTGATAAATGCATACAATTATTGTCTTGAATAATTCTTATATATGTATCATTTATATTTTTGCTTTATAAAAGAAACCACCAGCAATGAAGCTCAAGACTCCAGTGTCAACTTCCTGAAGAATGTTGGAGAAAGTGTTGCTGCATTCCTGGGTCCACTTGGTAAACGATTCCTTTCACTGTATATTTTTATTTATTTGTAAAATTTACTAACTGCCCACCTTATCACAAGGTAGTTCTGGGAGGTTTAAAACATTAAATATTGGTTTTCATGTCCCTCTTGTGGACTTCCCAGAAACCACACTTTTTACTGATTTGGCTCTCCCAAATAATTTCACCCAAAATATAGACTACTATGGATGAATTATGTAAAATATCAGAAGTAGAGTTTTTAAAGGTACATTATCAATTGTGATCATATCCTTTGAATATTATCATTAATAAATTAACAGTGATTAAGCATACTGCAACAATGTGATGAACAAATAGTAACTAAACACTTGAAACTAATGGATTAATGTGTAATATGAGAATGAGTTAGCACTCCTGCATCAAGTACTAGAGAGTATCGGATGCACCACCCAATTGATGTAATCTAGTTACTCATTTTTATATTCTCCCAAGTGATGGTTTATTTGGAAATATATTGCCTATGAAGTGGGGTGGATGACAGAAGAATTAATCTGTAATTTTGAGACAAAATATAGAACTAGAGTAATGAACACATAGACAGAAAATTAGTGATGTCCATGAATATACTGCAGTATGTCATTAACATAACCTGTGTCAATTGCTTTTTTAGGCATTGAAGTGGATATTGATGTAGAACATCAGGGCCAAAGAAGCAAAGTATCACCTACACAATCTAGTTCTGAGAAGAGCTGCCCCAAACCTAGCAGTCCTACTGAGCAGACCAAACCAGAAGCAAAATCTGAAAATAATCCAGACATAAGTGATGCTCTTGCAAACCAAATGCAGGAGATGATAGTCTGTTCTCCACCTGCACAGATGGAAGAAGAGAATATTTTGTCACAGGTATAAGAAATGTCAGTTTTGCGCATTCAAAGATATGTTAATTGGTGCTCCAAGAATGATGAAGCTGTTGGGATATTATAAACATTTTAACCTGCAAGAGAAAAGTAACTTGTTAATACTTATGAGCAATAAAGCACACTTCATTATATTTAATCTGAAGTTTATTCATATTAGACCTTTGTATAAAATGGCTGAATTGCCCTCAGACGGGCATGGAGTGAAGCGGAATTGAATATCCAAGTTCTCTGGAACACTTCCTACCTGAATTGCAAAAATTTTCTTGTCCTTAGATTCTGGGAGGTGTGATATTTCTGCATATGTTGTAGGATTTAGATATAAGGTAGTCTGCTTCTTTTGAATAATTAGTAGAAAGCAAACTACCATTTCTTGATACAGTTGTAAATACAGCTAGTAAAAGTGGGCTTGCTAACATTTTTTTATTTGTATATTCCAGGAACGAGGTGAATCCAGTGGTAGTTTAGGAGGAGATGAAGACTGGACCCATTTATCTTCAAAGGAAGTAGATCCTTCAACTGGTGAATTGCAGTCCTTACAAATGCTAGAGGAAGACAGCCCAAGATCTCTAAATCCCGTTGAAGCTCCCACTAATGCTGGACCAACAGGCTTGCGAGAAGCTGCAATGTACCCTCATCTTCCACCTGGTAATAAGAACTAGGCAGGATCCAAAACTATTTTATAGAAATTATTGTGTCCTAATAAGCTTGGATACAAACTAAATCCTAATAAATATTTCTGTAAAAATACTATTAAGCATTGGCAGAACTATAGCAGCATAATATTTTTAGGCTTGCAGTTCAAAAATAACTAGTTTGCTTTAGTGACGAGTCAGTGTGCTGTGCATGAAATCCTGTCCAAATGGTAATCTGACTTAAAGGTCTAACACCATGTCTACTTTTATAAATCACAACAGCTTTATAGGTCACCTGACACTTTTATTGCCTAAGTTATGGAATGGTAATATAAGCATCTTTTAGTTAGAAAATCAATTTAGGAATATTTGAAAGACCTACTTTTAACCTGAAATTTTAAATTTATATGGCTGATTATAATCTGATTTGTTTTAAGCGTTGCATTTTGTATAAATCCTGATTATGATTATTAGATTTGATTGAGATGGATTGTTCTATACAGTGACTTTTTTAAAAAAAGACTTAATATTGGCAATAATTATTTAATTAAATTCAGGTGTGGAATTGCAAATTTTAGGTATGTGATTACAATTTTTATGGGCCAATGAATATGACATGTTGAAATTCAACCTGTTTACAGAAGCAGATCCTCGTCTGATTGAATCCTTGTCCCAGATGCTCTCGATGGGATTCTCTGATACGGGAGGCTGGTTGACTCACCTGCTGCATTCAAAGAACTACGACATTGGGGCAGCCCTGGACGCTATCCAGTATGCCAAGCAACCACCCGCTTCCAAATAGCTCTTGTATAACTCATAGTTCTTAACACACATTGTTAAAGCCTCTTTTTATACCTTTCTTCTTTCTGTAACGATCTGATTGTAATTCCATATTCATAGATAACATTTCCAAAAGTAGTTCTTTCTTATGAACCGGGTAAGGGTTAATATTTACACAAGAAATAGAACTAGTTTAAAGTTATGACAGGTGGTCTTTTACTGTCAAGTGGCAATGGCACTGTCAGAGGACAAGGGTATTTTGCTTTCAGGTTGGTGGATCTTCCATGTTTAGTCACCATCATGGAGCCATGTGATTGTGAGACATTTTATTTTAGTGCTTCTTTATTGAATTTATAACAAGTTTGTTTAATTAGAGGTATATCAATTTATTAAAATAGGTACCAGTAATATTAGCTTTTCTAAGCTATCAATTGTTCAAACATTTGATTTTTGTAAAAAGCCTTTGCTTTCCATGCTTCTTTATAATGGTCCCATTAACAATACAGCATAGCTCTATTGATAATTAAAGCCTTTTTGTGCCATGCCTAAAATAGTATGACTGGAATATAATCCACTTTATTATTCAACATTGAAATGTCTGATTTTAAATGCAGGCCATATTGCTATAATTTTAAACCATCTCAGTGGAAAAAAATCAGCAAATCTCACTGTAGAGCCTTAAATATCATCATCAAAATCCTCCCCTGTGTAAAAAAGACTTCCATAAAGGTTTGATTTAACGGGAGTGCAAGACCCTGAAGTAGTGGTAAATTCTGCAGGTTGTGCCTTATCTTGACAAGTAGCCAAACCTGCAGAGTATTTGTTGCTTGTCCCAAGGTGATCAGAATCTTTTGCTCTCTCAAAGTAGGTTAATACATTCTGTTGTGGTTTGAGATGCCAGTTACCACACCCAGCACTAGAAGTGCTGGCTCTTTCATCACTTGTGCCTGCAGGATGTGTTTTGTCTGATGTCCTTTGCCTTCCACCTGTCTTGTCAATATTATAACTCTTGTCAGATAAAAGGAATTTATTCCATTTTGAAAGTCCAGTTACTTTTGATTCTGGCTGTTGATTATTTCTTTGTAGCACATGGTCTTCAGTCACAGGAATTGTACTGTCACATAAATCATCTTTGCAGCTTTTTACATTAACCATGGCTAAGTGTCTCCTATCCTAAAATAAAAAATAATTGCAACAATGTCAATTCTGACATGCTAAAAGGAAAACCATCTGATAGTTATCGTTATAGTTCCCCGAGCTTTCTTATTCTACAGCCATTTCACTTCTGTGATGGTGATTGCAGTTTGAACTGTAAGGATGGTGTTAATACCACAGTAGCCCTCTAGAATTGTCAGGCCCATCAGGGTCATTGATCGGTGTTCTCCCACAAATTTCAACTTGGAAAGCTCAACATTAATTACAAAATGGAAAAGGTGTTACACTAGTTACATAGTAGAACAGGGGTCCCCAATCCCCAATCCATTACTGGGCCATGGTCTGTTTGGAACCAGGCTGCGGAAGTAGCAGGCAATTGTGCAAGTGTGTGTGCAAAGCTCCATATGCATGAGTGGCGGGTACGCAAATGAAGCTGCATATGCATGCACTTGCCTGGAACCATCCTCTCTCCCCCTCCCCTTGCTGGTATGCAAAGCCGGAAAAGTTGTTCAAAACATCCTCAAAACATTCAATAGTGGGAGATCTATTATATTTCAAAGGATAATCAGAGAAGTAGATCCATACATATTTATTAAAAAGAAACCATGTGTTAGTGGAATTCCACCCTCCAAACTGCTCTACTAGTAAATTCTAATACTCAACTAGAATCTGGTATTCTGTAACTTAAATCCACTACTTCTTGAGTGGTTAATGCCAATGTTATCCAGCAAATTTCGATAGCTGAGAGCAGACTGAACTTGGCACTCTGCATCACCGTTAAAAAGACAGGAATACAAACCAACCTACATAAAATACTTCAAAATTTCTTGCAATTCTTTGCCAACAAAACCACTGAGACACCTGCCACAATATGTAGTTTATATTTTTCTAATTCACAAACATCAGATACTCTTACAATCACTACTGTAGAAGCAAAGGAAGTTTTCTATACATTCACTGGCAAAGGAACTCTTGCTAGTATGTAAGAATTTCTATATACCCTTGATGGTAGCCTTGATGTATGATCAGTTGTTTAGCACCCATTGCGGTTACAACCCATCCTTGGAATTCTAGCTGTCCCAGCAACTTTGCAGTTACATGTTTGTGATCAGAATGCTTGCTAGCTGTTTCACATGACCGCATGGATTGGATTGGAACTGGTCTTTTTAATATAGTGGTGGTTCTCCTTTTTATTAGCCATGTCCAGAAGATGTTGTTTACCACTGTTCAACTAGTTCACAGATGTTCTGATTTATTTCGTCAAGTTGTTCAACATTCATATGAAACTGGAGGCAAGCTCATATTAGGTCATCTGTGGCTTTGGAGTACACTGATCACACCCATCTCTACTCTTGCTTACATACAATTCAAGAGATGCAAAGTAAATACTGCCCAAGTTCAATAATAGGCTGGATGAAGGAGAACAAGCTGAAATGAATCCAGATAGATAGAGACAAGCAGGATACTGGATTTTTGGATTAAAGTTCGGACTGCTTTGGATGATACTGTTTAAAATATTGGAGCAGAATTTGACCCTCAGCTGTCACTTGGTTTATAGGTGGTGGTTTTGGCAAGATACATCTAGTGCCAGATATGTTTCTGACAGACTTCTCTAACCTAGAAATAAATGAACATTCAAGGCACAAGTCTTGAATTTTGATTAATAAGACTTATTAAGAAAGATGTTGGTTATATACAGGGATTCCAGTTGCCAACATATGAAGGCAATTCAAAATCATAAGCTTGGGTTTTTTTCATCTACCTTTTCAACAAAGGAAAGAGGAATCATAGGGATGGAGGTCTTCCAGTCCAAAAGGTGGCTCAGTGTAAAAATCCTCATGTCACTCTGGACAAATCTCTTTTGGAAAATTTCCTCTAATGGATATCCTGTGACTTCAGGAGGCAGAATGCTCCACTGTTTAGTATTTCTCAGGAAATTTCTTGTTTCATTTTTTGGATTGTTCACTGTAAAGCTACTTATCTGTTGGTTCTTGTCTTAAAATGGGTGTTTTGGAAAATAAATCCACACTTCCATGTGATTTCCCTTCATCTCTTCCCTAGGCTAAATAGTTCAAGTACTGCATGCAACTCTGGAAGATTCATAACGTTAAAACAATGTGCTGGGCTTCATACACAAATATTTTAAAAAAACAGCACCAAAGAATAGTTAATAAACCGCTCAACACAGCCAAGAAACAGGTTCAGTCACACACCCGAGATCTCAGGCTCGGACCCAGAACCAGGTCTTTAAAATCTTACAAAAGGCCAGCAGGGCAGGGGCCAACCTAATCTCAAGAGCGGTGATAATTTAAATTTAATTTAAATGTAAGCACTGTGGTCTTTTGGGGGCCCACTAACCAACACTTCTTTGCTGACAGAATCCACAACATGTTATGTATGTCCTGCTGGACCAGAACAGATAGAAACAATAGGGAAGAGAGGGTGTTGTAAATAAACCTAGCCCTCAGTCATAAAGGGCTTTCAAAGTAACTACCAGCACCTTGAACTGCATGCAGAAGCAAAGTGGTAATCAATGCAGCTTGTAAAGCTATGGTGTCACATGTGCTGAAAAACTGGCACTATTAGATGCCCATGCTGCCACATTCTGCATTAGCTGGAGTTTCCAAATGCTCTTTGGGACCTGACCTGTATAGATCATGTTGCAGTAGTCAAATTTTCATGAGGGTATAAAGGACTGTGATTGGGCCCTCTGTTTAAGATAGATGCAACTACCATTTCTTTACTATTTTTAGGATTTAGCCTCCAAGTCCATGGCCATCTTCATTACTCTTTTGCATTCTTTGCAGTTCCTCAGCGTTTTTATATTGTGATGACCAAATCTGAAAACAATATTTCCAGGTGTGGTGAGACCAGTGCAACATAGAATAGTATTGCCACTTCCAGTGACCTTGATAACATACCTCTATTATTGCTGCTCAATACAGTATTGACCTATAGCACACTGCTGGCTCAGGCTTAATCTGCGGTCAACCTAGACACCCAAATCATTCTCACAAGTACTATTGGCAAGCCAGGTACTCTCTATCTTGTCTCTCCTTAGAAGGCAAATCAACCCACATTTGGATATTGTTCACACAACAGCTGTTGGATTTAGCATGAAATTCACTGTCCATGTCCCTTCTTGAGCTTGTGAAATTTGCTGAGCACCCACATCTTTGTTATGCCCAATATTAACTACTGGTATATGTGAAATGTTTCTTGAAAAATACTCAGAAATTGCATTTGGTACATCACGTAGCAACCAAACTGCAAATTGGTGCAAACTACAGGGATTCTATGATGCCGGGCCTTAAAAGTTCTAAACTGATTGTCAACTGGGCACAATTTGCTATTGTAGGTGGCTTAGAATTAAATTAACCAAGAGACCCCCCATTACAAATCACTCTAAACCTGTTGTTAACAGCAGCAGAGCCCTGTTTGAAGATGTTATCACTTTGAAAAACTTGTCTTTCTCACAATGGCAGAGGAAAGGCTCTTCCTTTGTCCCCAGGCTATAGAACTTACTTACTTAGAAGCTGCTAGTGGCCCTATTCTCTTAGCATTTAGCAAATCCACAAAGGCACATCTTTTGACAATTCTTTAAGATTAAACTACTTATTTGATGATTTTTTAAAATCTGCATTGTTAAACATTGTTTTTTTTAAAATTATTGTAATTATCATGACTGCTCAAAAAATCAAAACAAAAAAAAAATCAAATCATTTTTACTTCATTTAAGAGTTTATGATTTTATTCTTTGTAATTAATGCTACTTCTAAATCAAAGTCTTACCTCCCAGTCTGTTTTTTCTTTGATGTTAACAGCCATATTCTCATCGACTATTGGTCCTGATTCTTCTTTACACCTAGAGGTAGATCACATTTAACTACTGTATATAACTGTACCTTTATATACATATGGAAAAATAAAAGCA